CCGTCCCTGGGCCGGGAGCTGGAGGCCATCAGGCTGAGGAACAAGCTCCGCTCGTGCTCCTCCGCCTCTTCCCTCGCCTTGCCATTACAGTAAACTGGCCTGGAGAAGCAGCGTCTTCTACTCGTCGCCTGCACAGATCCCAGTGCTACGGGCTTCTGCGCCGTGCTGGATACCCGAGGCACTGGTGAAAAAACACCTTGGTCTCCACAGCTTCTTGTGGCGATGGAGAAGCTGAGAACAGATGCGTTACTGTCTCCCGGAGAGAAAGCTGAGAGCGGTACAAGTGACCATCAGCTGCAGCGGAGCACCCCCTGCCATCACCCCTGCCTGCTGCCACGCTGATGGACCAGTGACCGCCTGCATTTGCTACCGGGATCGATTAAGTCTAGTTATTTTAAAAGCAAAATGCAATACTTTTGGCCTCCACGCCCATATCTTGATTTCAAGCACTAGGAATTCACAGTCCCAATTTTTCAGCAGTCAGAAAACTGACGTAACCAAAAGCAATAAAGCCCAAAGCGAGCGGTTCCAGCGCTGTTGCAGAGGGAGCGATGGGGTGGCGTGTGAATGAACAGCCTGATGCTTGTGGCTCGACTCAGGTGCTTGCAGGTTCACATTCTTTCACACCACTTTCCCTATAAAACGTGTCCCTCCGCAATGTTTACCCTGCAATGATTATTGCTCACATGGATGCACCAACCCACGGTAAAACTAAAGGAATAGCAACCTAACTAACTATATTAAGCAAGTTTTGAAATTTTTTCTCTTGGTCATCCAACCAAGAAGTCAAATCGGATATATTCGGAGGAGTCAAGGCATTTTAGAATTTGCAGGTGCTGCATTGCTCTGCTTTTTCACTGGAAGATTGTACGATATCCAGGGCTGCGAGAGGCACATTTTTTGATTCCATCAACGTGCTACGAAGAAGATGATGTTGCTTTGCTTTCCCCTTCCAACATGCAACTCAGAACTTTGGCTTGTTAATGATCACCCCCTTTTGAGAGAACCTATTTAAGCCTTAGCAACCCACGCCCCCCCCCAAACCCCTCTGTGCTTTTCTTTGCTCTCTTCGCTTCTCCTTGAGATCACAGGAAGGTTGCTGCAGTACCACCTTCTCAAAATTTACTTTCCCATCTCCCTTAGGCTATATATAAGTAACTCGGGCAACCTCTATAACCTTCCATAGAACCCCTTATTCACCTGCTGGGGAAAGTTACTGTATTAAGAACAAGCAAATCCATATTTGAGATGTTAAGTTCATTGAACAATGCTAAATGTTCTGAGAGGTTTAGACAAACACAAGCCCTTAACTACAATTAGTTCATTTATTGAAAACCACCGTATCATAATTCACGATGCAGATTGTCATTTACAGCGTGTAAGAAGCCATCAGAAATGCATCTTCAAGGGGTCAGTGGCTGAAAGAAGATCCCTTCCAACCCCCCCACCAGCACTCCCCCCTTCCTAGCACAACTAGGATGGCCATGAGGCCGCATGGCAAGGCTAATACGGTGTAAAGGCTTGATACGTAATCTAACAGCAGTTTTCAGTAGAATATTCAGCTCAGGAGATAAACATGCTCAGCTACTCTGAGTGTAAACCAGCAGTCTGTTTCAGTGCTATTAAAAATTGCCAGAGGTTATGTAAATGTAAACAAGCTTCAAGAAATTAAGTTGATAAAAACTATTGTTTTCATTGTATATCTTGTGGTAAGTGTTTCTGTCCTACACAAAGACTGACAGACTTGCGATCTTGGCTACAATCAAAATGCTTACTTAGTGAAAGTGATAAGGTATTCTGGGTAAGCTTGAATATCATTAAATATAATAAACATGGATGGCTGGTTGACATTATCAGTTGAACTATCAAACAGATCTATAGAGTCACTAGCGTTTTTTGCTGCTGGAGTAAGCGATCCTTTTGTCCCCTGGGAATACTCTCCAACAAGGACTCGAGCCAAGTACATGTACTTCTTCCCATCCGCACTTGGTTTAGAGTAGGTGTCGTGGGCAGAATAGTTGGCATTAACAGCAAAGTATGTTCCATTTCCAAAGTTTGCAGCTGCAGTCAGAAAAACAAACGGTTGTGAGCGTTTCAGTACCAGCAATCGCTTATCTGTCATCTGCAAAGCCTGTGAATCTCTTGAAAATTTTGCTTTTTATTTACAAGAGGGAGATTTAACAAAGTAAGTGATTTTGCATACAAGGCAGGACCGTACACATGGCATGGCAAATCAGTCCTAGCCTTATTCAGGAAAACACAAGTTTTTCTGAAATTCACATTACCGTGCTTTCCAGCATAGCTCCGGTTAAATCCCTGGGTGTTGATGTAGGTTAACGACTCCTTACTTGTCCCATGAAACAGGCGCCTCTCATTATTTCTGTTGCCATTTTTGTAATCCATTTCACGCTTTTTTATTTGGTAGGCCTTCCAAAGACATGCATTCTGTACCCTTTCAATCTGCAAAGTTTGAAAAAGTAAGACAGAAAGAAAGAAAGTAGGTAGGTTGCTGTCATGAAAAACAGTGTATCAACAATTCAATCTGCTTCCAAGATTCTCCTCCTAGCTCCAATGCCTTTGTACCAGATTATGAAATGAGTTAGTCAAGTCACTCCAAACTTTGGCATGACAGACAGCAGAACCCATCCCAAAACATGACAGAAACACTCCATGAGAAACAATATGGGCCAGTTTCACAGGTTTCTGAGGCATAGATGACATGCCTACCTGCAAAGCACATGGGGCTTAAGCGAGCAAATGCTGTGCTCTACTACAGCAAAAACGATTTAAAGAGAGAGCACCCTCCCTTGGTGCTGACAAAGCGACTGCTTAAGAGTTGTTCCAAATACCTCAACTGCATTAAACTGACGATGATTAAAGTTAGTGTCAGCCATAAAGACTTGTCCAACTTCAGAAAGCCCAGTGGAATTTATTTTTCCATTGCTATTAGTATTCTTCATCCCTTGCTATCAAAATATTTATGCTTAGAAACAATGACATGCTTTTACCTTTTCAACTTTTAATGACTGACATGTCTGCAGAAACATTTCCTGCACCTCTTTATATTCTTTTGTTTCTGGTTTTAGTTCCACTACTTTGAGTAGCTGGTCTTGCATATCATCCCACGTTGCAGGGAGTAGTGTTACCTTTTGTTCTGCAGAAGAAACATAATCAATCGCATTTGCCCAAATACTCTGCTTAAACTGAAACATGCCTGACTGCAAACTCTTCTAAAAGCCTATACATCTAGCTTATCACTAGTGCCTCCTGGCCTTTGTCAGCCAACACTTTCCCTGGGTCTTTTACCAGAGGATTAGGGCATCGTAGTTTCTAGCTTGCCACTGCACTGGCTCTGGATGTGCTGAATTGGTTGTTCCTAGGCAAATCTGTTCTTCACAGCTGAAGAGGGATCCTTTCCAACATCTTTTACCAGAAGCCTTCCCTGCAAATCAAGTTTTCAAGGACATGGAGCAAATACAGATTTAATGAGTAGTTAATTCTCATCAACTAGGAGCAAAGCATCTGAACAAGGAAGGTTTTAAATTGAAAAAATTCAAGGATATACTCTCCATCTGACAAGCGGAAGTCTTCCCCTTCTTCCCTTCTCTGATTTCATGCGAGGCCTAGTATCT